ATAATAAACTATCTGGAAATAAAAAAATTATTCTAAATCAATAAACATAGACTTTAAAATTTTTCTTTACTCACTGATATGCAACACTGGATTTCTCCTCACTGATCAAATAGCTAGAAGATGTTACTGATTTTCTGAGTTCACAGTAAACTGAAGATTTAACCTCCCCATGAGCCACCCCAGTGTCCACACATGGAAAAAACAAAACAAAACAAAGACCAACAAAAACAAAACTGTAACTAATGAAATATACATTTATTTGTTCCAATTAAGTTTTAAAATTTGACAAAAATGTATTTGTTACTAAAAACCTTCAGGCAATAACAGAGATCCAGCTTAACACAGTAAAACAAAGATTTCATTCCACAGTCTCCTGGACTTAAGAATCCATTTGAGTTCCAGAGATAATACTAAACTAATGCAGTTATGTCAAGCCACTAATCTCCACACTGGGGCTCTTCCTGATACAGTCTTTTGCACTGTAAGCAACAACAAAAAGATCACTTTTTTTTTTTTAACAAGTTCATGTTATATTATTTATATAATGTCCAAAGAAAGACCAAGATCTTTACCTAAAAATAGAAATGCACAATGCAAATTTGCAAGCTTTGACCTGCATCAGAATCACTTGAAGGGCCTGTTAAAACATAGATTGCTGGGCCCACCTCATTCAGGTGTTGGGTGGGGCCCAAGAGTTACTATTTCTAAGAGGTTTCTTTGTGAAGCCAGTACTACTGGTGTGGAGACCACACTTTGAGAACCACTGGCAAAATGTTTAATAGGACAATGATTATGTCATAAAAGTGAGTATGTTACAGTGTAAGCACAAAGCACTGCTTCGTAACTTTGGGCAAATTACTCTTCCTAATCTGTACTTTGCACTTTAAAGAATCAAATAAAAACAGTATTTAAGGCACTCAACACAATGCCTGGCAAATAGTGCTACTGAATTTCTAATTATTTAATGTTGTTATGCTATACTACATGTGTTAAAGTTGTGCTCAAATTGTTAACTAAGTGAGTCACTGCACTTAGCTGAACCTCGTAAGGTACACTGATCTTAAAGGAGTTACAAGAAACAAAAGGCACTTTTAGGCCCCCTATGATCATCAATTAGCATTTCCAATGCCAAGTCATTCATCCCACTACAATTTTCGCTAAATCAGCGAGCTCAATGCATAATTTTACTTTAAATTAGTGATGTTGTTCATTGTCCCAAATCACCCATTCATGAAACTTTGATCAGCTATGGAAAGCTAATAATTTTCCAACTTTTCTTAACATTATATCAAATGAATGCATTCTTATCAAAAGTGATTGGCAGGTTCTTCAAAATGGGATTTCCTATGGCTTTGACTGATAGCTTTGGTTATACTTTTGCACTACAAGAATAAATCAAATACCTTTCTATTAATTTTGCACATTTTAATGTGAATAACACACTTAGCTGTCAAAACTGTTACTTTTCTTTCACATGTGTAAAGTCCAAGTCCAATCTACCTTTCTTAACTGGTTCATATTAATTTTTTTCATAATGCTCAACTATCTGACACCAAGTAGAGAGCTTCTTCCTTTATTAAACCTATCCTGGGCGCCTAGGTGGCTTAGTCGGTTAAGCATCTGCCTTTGACGTGGGGTCCTGGGATCGAGCCCCTCATCAGACTTCCTGCTCGGTGGGGAGTCTGCTTCTCCCTCTCCCTCTGCCCCTGCTCATGGTCTCTCTCTCTCTCAAATAAATAAAATCTTTAAAAAAAAATTTTTAAAAACCCACCTTTACTCAGTCACATTCATGTTTTGAAAGTGAAGAGTAAAATTGCGCATTTGGTCCAATATTAAAAAGGAAGTTTTGCTTTCTAGCTTCCTTTTTAACCTTATCTGGTTAGACATCAAAATAAAATGAATGAATTGTAAAGGATATTATAACCAGTCCTATCTCTTTAACATGAAGGTCCAACATTACATAAATTCTCTCCAAAATGTAACTCTTGCAGAGGTGAAAAGAGAAACAAGACACAGGAGATTAAGAAAATATGTGGGTAGTATACAGCTACTGATAGAATTGTGTGCATGCACAGAGTGAATCTAGAAAAAAAATACAGATTTGATAAAGTCTAAGATAAAGGGCTCCAGGTCCAATTAAGACTAAGAGACCTTACAAGTTTTTCGATAGGCTTGCTAATGGAGTAGGTTCTTATATAAGGACTTGAGACATTATCTAAACAGTCTGACTGAAGGATGCTTGTTCACTTGTTAGACATGTATGACATTACTGAGAAGATTAATTTAGAGTTCTAGAAGTAAAGAAGACTGATTAGCTTGTGCAGGTGTATGAAGAATGACACATTAGCAAAAGGTTATGTAAACCATTTACTCAAAAAACAAAGACCGGATTTGTACATTCTCAGACTCCTACTTAACTTTTTCAAACTATTAAGGACCTGAAATTCTTTGAACACCATCAGATTTAGTTGATAATAGTTCCAATTCTGAATTAAGAAATTATTCATGTAGTTTTAAAACAAAGACAATTAAAATTTTTAGTCAGATTGAACATGTGTATACTTCCTTTCTTCAAGAAGTCCCACCATTGAAGTATACAGATCTTATCAATATAGCATTTTTATTTTTTTAAACATTTTTCCCTCTACAATAATGTATACTAAAGATTTAAATGTACTGCATACTGTTTTAGTAAGAGGCACACAAATTAATTAGAATATTAACATTATCCCTTAACTCCAAAAGTAAAACTCATGGTCAGGGTTTTACTGATAGTTCAGGGTGAAAAAAAAATAACCAGTGTTGAAAAATAAATGAAAATTTATTTTTTTACTGAGTATTTATTATTTTACATGCAAAGCCTATTAAAAGTGAATCTGTATCAAGCTGACTATTCCACCATGAAAACCTATGCCATGGGAATTATGAAAGCTCTCTACACAATACGAATGTGGTCAATAAATTATCGAGGTGTTTTTCTACAAATATTTACTTAACTGATTTTTCAAAAGAACAGTAAATTTTAGTTTTCATATGGTTGTTGCCGGTAGCAGCAGCCATCTAATACTTAAATTTAGAAGAAAAACCCTGACTAAAATAGCCAAATCTTCCAAGAAACAAGTTCACCAAAAAAGGCAATGTGTATCTATTAGATTAGGTATCCAGAAGAGGAATCAAAACAAAACAGGCGCATAATTAGTGTCCATCAAGTGATCATCACTAACATTCTATTATTACTAAAGCAATATGTGTCAGGATGTGAACTGCTTATTAGATGTAAATACCTAAAAACAAACTAGTAATCAATAATGTACAGAGAATACCATTAATAGTTTGTTGTATCTGAAATACACTGAATTCTTTTTACTTCATTACTGCTATAAATTCTTCAACAATGTTCTTTTCATAAAGCATAATTACCTAAATGAAATATGGTAAGATATTTCCCAACATGCATCAGGTCTTCCACTCCACCATTCAGTAAGTGCTGCAGCGAATTAAATGGTACCTATTAACTAGAGCTAAAAGACAATGGCTAGATAATACCAAAAAAAAAACCCCACACTTTTGAATGAACTATTCAGATTAGACCAGCTAATGCTAATTAAGAATGCACTTTGTGCTACTGACACACACTACATAGATAGTACACTGCTAAATGAAGGGCTGGTCCATGTCCATTTTTAAAAAACATCTATAAGAACTATAATTAGATATCTACTAGACTAATAAATACTTGCTAAAAGAACAGATATGAAAATTTAATGTATGTATAGTCCTCATCCATAGTCCTCTCACATACTGACACGTTAATGGGTAGAGGATTTTAACGTGCTGTGAGAGTCTAGCTAAGTAAAATAAAAAAACAATATGGGTTCAGGTTTTCTAGGGTAATCTAGGTAATTTTTCAAGTTTGAGAATGACAACCAACTTCTAAACTTCAATGAGAAATTTAACAACATGGGGGAAGCACCTGAAGAGCAAAATGTTTGTTGTCTATTAGTATTACGCTTTCAGTTAAATGGAACAACAAAAGTGGCAATAGTTCTCACATAAATAATATATAAATTATGATCCTAGTTGATGGGATGTCCTTTACTTATGAGAGTGAGCATAGGAAGTCAAGCTTACTGTTACATATTAGGAATGGTTCAGATACAATAAGAGAATGTTTAGCACTGACTTTAACATATTATTTTAAAGTTCTGACTCCTGAATGTTAGTTCTTTCTCACTTACTATTCCTCCCAATGAAAAGCTGGTGTTTCGTTTCTTATATTACAAGATGAAAATCTATGCCTGAATCTTGTAACAGGCTATTAACTAAACCATGAACAGTTATTAAATAAGTGCCAATACTGCATGGAACTTACTAGGCATGGACTCAAGATTATAAAACTACAAAAAAGATGAAAGATGACTATCACTGTACATATGAATATTGTCTAGGACATCAGATCAATGATCAAACCAAAGGTCTTTCCTGTTTTATATTACAGTGTTGAACTTACAAAGTCTATTATACTGACTTGTATTTTCAACAAAGTATTAGTGAACTCAAAATGTCCTATTTTAATTTCTAATTATAAAAATCCAGACTAATCCAGAAAACATAAACCCACATATAATTGAGGTAGGTTTTTCACCTTAGCAATACATTGCTTTAAACCACCATTAAAAAGTTAACTTTAGACAAAAAGAATACATTGCTTCATGTGTCTGCCCCCCAATACTTAATTTTCTATGTTTTAAACTGCTTGAGCCAGTGTAACAGTGCTAATCTCTATATTTAGTAAATTCCCTTAGAAATACATAAATACCACCCTCTTCCTCTCTAAAGGTAACTGTAGTGCAATAAAATTAATAACAATTCTAGAAAAATGAAAAATGGAGGTTACTTTGTAATTCTCAAATTAATGCATGTCAGAAATCAGGGGGACAAGTCATGTTCACTTTAAAATTAATAAACGTATTGTTTTGAAAATAATATCATAAACACAGTAAAACTTTGAATATGCTTTATTATGCCATAAAGTCCCAGGAAATATAAGAAATATAATTTCTGAATGGAACTAATAATTTCACAAATACTAGCACTTTATTGACAACAGCCAAGTTTTCTAAGGTAGTGCACATGTATTTTACCTTTTTAAAATCTCAATGCTTTTTATACATTCTAAAGGGAAATTGTAGCAGATCCTACTTAATTTTTCAATATTCAGTGTAAAAATCTGTAAGTGATATAAATACACATTTTAAGGACAGGAGGAAGGACTGCTTGTGAACTGCTTTGCCTAAGTTGTCAGGCCTCTGTATTTGCACTAGGTACCATTATGTAAAAAATCATTGTTGGAAGTTTTCCTAATAAACTGAAGAAAAGGAAAATTTAAAAACAGCTCAGTCTTTAAAAGCACTAATAACTGGTATAATTTTAAAAAAAGAAATGAAATATTCCTTTCCTTACATATGGATTAAATAGAAATTTCAAAAACTTTACTGAAAAACCAGCACACTAATAATGCTGGATACTGACAGTATTTTCACAACATCCAAAGCTTGGATGTAAAACTAGGTAATAGCAGTATTTCTGCAAAATACCTAAGGGTAACTGAAGGGAGATGAGTGCCTCATGGCCAAGGCAGTGACTGAGCCTGGCATACCACTCTGACATGTGGAGAGCAGGTCACTGTTCCCATGCTGGGTAACATTCTCCAAAAAGGAGGCCCTTACGCAGTAATTCTGCAACTATATCAAGTTTGGTAATCTAACGTTGAAATTTTTGGTAAATATATTTAAACATATGAAAACTTCCCCAGAGACCAGATAAATTATTAAATAAACTAAAAGGGGGACAAAATGCTGGTAGCTAACATATGTTAATTCTAGGGTCTCCAGTGGAAGATACAGAAAGGAAAGAGGCGACAGCAGCTATTTCCAAACTTAATTATGATCAGAATCATCAGATGGTGAGCTTTAAAAATTCTATCCAGGGTCTCAACCTAAATCTATCTAGAAATTACAGCCAGGGAATTCTTTGTAAGCAATCCAAGTGATTCTAATGATCAGCCAAGGTTGAAACTTCTGAAATGAGAAGCCAATCTAGGTAACCACAAAGAATTTTTAGAATTCAACATGTGATATTTATCATTTACATTCTGTCCAGTTGTCTCACTTCCCTATTTTTCTAATAGTAAATAATGAAGGGACTTGGCAAGTGAAGAAAAAGAGACAGTAGGTTACCCAAAATGGATTTTACTACGTTTCATTGGACAAAAGGGTATCAGTATACTGTTTAGGATTCAATTATCAGACAGACATTTCTTAATGTTAATATATTTTAAAAGAGGGGGTTTCCTTACTCAACATAAAAATTTAATATACAACAACTCTAAATACTAAATGATACTTAATAGAAAATTTATAAATTTCTTCAAAATTTTTAAAAATTGTTTTTAAAAATTCAATATTAGGAAGAAAATCCCTTAAATTTGAAGTAGGGGAATAATTCTCTCATATGAGAACAACTGTATCACAGTGTTATTCTCCAAGTTAGAAATAAGCAAAGTATTTCAATACTATTTCTGTTTACGTATTGTTTTGTAAATGTAATTATCAATGTTTTAAGTGTGGATAAATATTTTGGTTTTGTTTTTAATGCAAATGACAATTAAAAATATGGATTTTTTTTCTTTTACACTGAAATTGTACACAGTCTCCAGGATTGATGAATGAACTTTTTAAATATCCCATGTTCATTTATAAATCTTGGAATAATAAGAAACATAGTACCTACATAAGAAATTTTACGATGAAATTACAAAGTATATGTCTTTCTGAAGCTAAAGTGATTTTAAATTTTTTTCAACATTCAAATACAAAAATTGTATATTTTAATTTACTGTAGCACAATTCAAGTATTCTTTAAAATTTTATATTTAGCCAACTAGTACATGATATTAAATGACTTTTCATAATAGCTTTCCTTTTTAAAGATGACTGTTACATAAAATGATGTGACACTCTATTACTCTAAATTGCTTAGAATAAGTTGAAAGAACAAATGACAATAGACAAAGCCTTTATGAGTAAATCAAAAACACATATAAGTTTGCACACATCAGTAATAAGGCAATTGCTGGTAATTCCCCAAAAGTATTTGAATTCATGTAAACAAAGACTATGTATATTCCTTTAGGGAGAAAACACACTACCATAGATAAAATATATTCAAATGGTTGTGACTTTAAACCATATATTATTTGAATACCACACAAAACCAAAAAAGCCATAACCTATCATTTTAATAACTGAAAGATGTTACTTATTCGTGAAATAGAAGGTTGGTACTATTTTGAAATAATGAAAAAGCAGTATTTTGAAAATAAAAACCCACTGTTTTCTAGAAATAAATATACATACTTAATGTATTGCAGCATAGGTATATTGTCCTACCATCAACTATAACATTCAATCAGTAGTTTTAAAATACTTTTTCCACACTGGGACTTGAATCTTCTACCTTGTTAGCTGACCAACAACTTTCAAAAGAGTTTTATTTTCCTGCTTTAGTTGTTCATTTTCATCTTCTATGTCATCTAGGTCCTTAAGGAAACAAAAAATGAAAATAACATAGGAGTTTTTTAAATAATTAAAAATATACTAAAGGTGATAAAAACACTTTAAAATACATACATTCAAAGATAATTCATACAAGCATTTAATTTGGAAACAAGGACAAGTTCTGAAAACAACTTTAGATGAAGTATGCCCCACCTGAAGGGAGCATCCACTACTCAACTCCTTCTCATTATTATCATGATAAGACAGATACCTCTTGCCAGATCTTTCATTTTTAGAAGTCAAAAATCAGAATTCTTTAATTGTGAATCTTCCAATTTTTAATCGTTATAAATAGCTTAATTTTTCAGTTAAAAACGAATCTCCCCTTCCCCCAAATTGAGGGCTAAACAAAATACATATATAGGCAATATGAGGTTCAGGGCCTCAGATAACAGCCTGTGTCAAATGAGGCATCAAAACGATAGAGGTACAAGTTCTGGATGTACTCCTACCACCTTGTATGATCTTTAACAAGGGTGTGTGTTGGGAGGTGAAAATCTGGGGAAGTGATAAAATGGAGGCATACAGAAAAGGAGATCTGGAGCAAATAGAGTTGATCTGGTTCAATTCATGTTAGGCTTCTCTATAACATTTTGTTTGAGGAAAAGGTTTTAGAGCTTTAAAAAAAAGTGAAAGCCAATAAACTAAGTAATGATCCTCCAGCTTTAAAGTTATATGATTCCAGGTCTGTGTTCCCTATGTTAATCCTAGTGCCATATATACAACCATGTGGTAAATATGAAGATAATCCACTCTAAGTTTTAGTTAGAAGAAACTATTTCAAGGCACAATGCTTACTGATAGTTGTAAAAGCACATATTTTTAGATTTATCCTTGTAATTCAAAATACTAAAACTTGGAGTAATCAGTTTAAATTATAAGCATGCTACTGGACAGCAGCATTCTGATAAATTTAGCATACTGCCTTTGGACAATTAGGTAAATGTTTTTAAAATGTGCAAAAATAGAATCTGCATTTACTCACAAACCAAATGAATGATGTTGGTGAACTTACCTGTTGAAAGCAACAACAATAAATATACAGAATTCCGAAAATTACTACAACTGAGACCTAATCCAAGATTTAGAATTAATTAATAAAATATATTCCTGTATCATTACTTGATTATAAACTCTGTAAAAGCAGGTGTTTTATTATTCTTTTTAATGCACAGCGCCTAAGACAGTGCTAATATATCACAGACTTCAAAACTATTTTCAGATTTTATTAAATCATATTCCAAAACCAATAGAGGAATGCCTGTGTTCTAAACCAAGATGAAAGACTGTTTACAAAAATGGAGAGCTCAGAATTAGGATTTTGGAATACCTGATGTAAAATACTGGCTCAGACAGTTACTCCATGATTACTACCTAGGACTTTGAACAAGTTAAACTAAATTGTGCTGTCCTCATCTATTACCTGTAGTTAATGCCTTAGAGCTTTATTTAGAATGGATCTACATAATGAAGCCTCTTTATTTTCTCTTCTTTCATTGTTAGGGTTAAGACTGGATTAGGAATCTGTTCCCTTTTTCCCTGAAGCAAACTTATTTCTTTCCTCCATCTTATCTAAAGTCTTCTAATATGCAAAACTATGGAATCTCTTCTCATCAACATTACCTAAGTACGGGCCAGCACTAACACCTGCTTCTTAAGCAGAAAGGCCCAGCACTAATACCCGCTTCTTAAGCAGAAAGTAAATTCTAAGGCTGAAAGCAAGAAAAAGAGTTACAAAATAGTGTAATAGAGACCTAGTATAATGCTAAACCTAAAGTTGGAGATGTGTAAGTATAACTAGAGGGGAAAAAGGTGGTGAAAATACACACAAAGACATCTGGAGTGTCTTATGGCAAGAAAGTAGCAAGTTTAGCTCTTCATTGAGGCAACTCTGTACCAATACCCTTTTATGTGTGGTGGTGACCAAGCTGCCTCTCACCTCCAGACTCTAACAAAAACACTGAACAAATCCATTCATCAGTCCATCCCCAAAAGAACAGTATTAACTGAATACAACTGATAACTGGCCAGAGGAAATCAGTTTATAGAATGAAATGATGATTCTTATTACCACAAGTTACCATCTCATTAACAAAATAATGAAATTACATAATCTCTTCATACATATGTATTTTCATCCAATTGAAGGGAAAAAAAAAACTATGAAACTGAAATGTGTGAATACTTACTCTATTTAACAAATCAATTTCTTCTTTGAGTTTTCCGATCATTTCCTCTTTATCTTGCATTAGTCTCACAAGTCTTAAGTTTTCTTGCCTTTCTCTTACTACTTCCTGGCAGATATAATTACAAAGTATTAATTGGGAAGTAACTGGTTGTTCTTAACCTTAAATGACATGTATCTGCCAAGTTTGGTGAAGCACCCTAAATACAGGAAGACTTCCAAATGCATTTAAGTCACCTGGTGAGGGAAGGAAAAACCCATCCTAGGAAAGACCCAAAGAATGAGAGGAATACAGGAGTTATAAGATATATATATATATATATTTTTTTTTTTTTTTAAGGATTTATTTATTTATTTGACAGAGAGAGAGAATGAGAGTGCGCACGTAAAGGTGAGCATGGGCGAAGGGGGAGTGGGAGAGAATCCAAGCAAACTCCGTGCTGAGCATGAAGCCCGAGGCGGGGCTTGATCTCACAATCCATTAGATCATGACCTGATCAGAAACCAAGAGTCAGATGCTTAACCAACTGAGCCATCCAGGTGGCCCCATATTTCTGATTAAACCTATGTTTACACAATTCTTTAACAAATACTAATACCCAATGACTTACCCTCTTTAGTTTATCACCACCATTGGTTTTTTTTATTATGTTATGTCAATCACCATATATTACATCATTAGTTTTTGATGTAGCGTTCCATGATTCATTGTTTGCACGTAACATCCAGTGGTCCATTCAGTACGTGCCCTCTTTAATACCCATCACCAGGGGCGCCTGGGTGGCTCAGTTGGTTAAGCGACTGCCTTCGGCTCAGGTCATGATCCTGGAGTCCCGGGATCGAGTCCCGCATGGGGCTCCCTGCTCGGCGGGGGGTCTGCTTCTCCCTCTGACCCTCTTCCCTCTTGTGCTGTCTCTCATTCTCTCTCTCAAATAAAGAAAATCTTTAAAAAAAAAAAAAAATACCCATCACCAGGCTAGCCCATCTCCCCACCTCCCTCCCCTCTAGAACCCTCAGTTTGTTTCTCAGAGTCCATAGTCTCTCATGGTTCATCTTTATCACCACCATTGTAACGATATATCTTACTTTTTAAATGGATAATATCCTGTTTGAAGAAATTCAAATTTTTTATTCAAAATACAAAGTTTAAGGGGCACCTGGGTGGTGCAGTTGGTTAAGCCTCTGACTCAGGTAGTGATCTCTGAGCCTCTTGTCAGCTCCAAGCTCAGTGGAGTCTGCTTGGGATTCTCTCTCTCTCACCCCTGTCCCTCCCCCACCAAATAAATCAATCAATCAATCTTTAAAAAAAAACACACACACAAAGTTTAAGAAAAGGAGATGGCTCTGGAAAACTCTAAACAGAAAAACAATGGTCCTCAAATGTTACTTGTGGCTCTACCAGTTAATGGATAAAATAAAGGAACTGAAATAGATTACTGGTTTTTAAACTTCTTTTTTCTTCAAACAATGCAACACCTTTTTCAAAGAAATCTTATTTAGAATCCAGGGCCTTGGGCTGGGTTGACTACCTTGGGGGCAAAAGAAAAGCAGAACTGAAAAATTTCGCTCAGAATTTACCCTCTTTCCTACTAGCCCTCAGAAAAAGCAGCCAGCCTGCTTCATTAAACAGCTGCTGCCAAACTACTCGGAACTGGATCCAAACTCATGTGGAACTGTAAAAGCCTTTCTAAAGAAACCCTTTAAACCGATTAGACTATGTATTCCTTAAAGTTTTTAATTTAAACTCACAGAAACTGGTATTAAAGCTGAGATATGAACTAAAAACAATCATAATACTATAAAAATTTTTAAATTAAATTTCTACTTAAAACAATCTTTGTATCACAGAGAATAATTTCAGTTCAGCAATACAAAACATATTTTCAACAATCAGAAAGTAATCAGCACCATTACCAACTTTACATATTAAATGTTGACAGAAAAAAACCTGAGACCATATGGTTAATATATTGACGCCAATATTCATTTGCCTTGTTGTTCTCAAATACACTCCTAAATAGGTTTATTCTGACAACTGTTTCAAACATCAAAGATGGCTCTAAGCTCTAACCAGAACCCAGAAGAAAGTCTACAAATGATAAACTATACAGATAATATAAGAAACACACAGTAGGACATATTGCCAGCACAGACTTATAACCATTTCAAAAACAAAGACTGTCTTTAATATGTTAGAGGTAATACGTAGCAGAATGGGAGTATACATTAAATATTAAGGAATACAAGAATTGGCTCCATTTCTGAAAGTTTTAACAACAAAACTGGATAAGAAAGTATTAAGGGAATCAGAAAATGCCTAGCCACAATGTATCTGGAAACTATATACTTAAGACAGTGATTTAAAACTGCAACTTGACTAAATATGGAAATACCAATTAATACTAATGGTATCTTCCACTAGCACCTCTCGTTCTTTTCCCTTTGTTGGCACTCTCTCTCCCATACAAATTTCAATTTATTTTCTCAGCTGCTATGAAAGTAAAATGAGGAATCCCAATGGCATATTAAATTTATCAATCTTAAATAATTTGTAATTCATACCTTTTCAAGATCTTCAATTTTCTTTTCCAACATGCTACTTGAGACCAAATTACCTGAAGCATTTGCATCCCTGTTATATCTGCTGAACACACTTCTATCTGTTCGGGGATATCTACTTGAGACATCTTCTTCAGAGGCAGTTGTGCTATGGAAAAAAAAAAGATGTATTTTATAAAAGTACCTGTAAATACTCAGCAAGAAGAATACCAAGAATATTTTCTATTCACCATAAATAATTACCATTCCCTGAGGACACACAGTTATAGTAGCCAACTCATTTATAACTAAAGAAGTTAATCATTATTCTAACACAACAAAAAAAATTAAAAAAAAAAAAAGTTAATTCTTTTGACCAATAACTACTGAGTAGCTGGCTAAGTACCAGACACTGTTCTGGGCATGAAGATATAACAGCAAACAAAGACATGGACTCTGCCTTTCACAGAGCTTTCAGTTTAACACGGAACATAACCAATTATAATAAAGCAAGATGACCATCACAATAAGGTAAGTATAGGGTACTATGACAACTGACAGGAGACTTAATGTAGATTATCTGTGGTGGAAAACCATTTTGTTTTCTTTTTCCATTTTTTAAAAAAATTCCAATCCATCATGGACCAATACTTTTCTAAGATAAAATAAAAACGAACTAGTGGAAAAACAAAAGTTAAAAAGGCCATATAAAATATAAGGTCAATGTTTTATTAGCCATGCCCATAAAATTTTATTTCAATAATATAATTAGAATTAACAGAAAAAAGAATTACATAAAATTGTTTACTTTCACTGAAGTGTGCATATAGGCAATCACAGAAAACAGCCATCACACTAATCATTTCATAATTTTATTTAACCCAAAGTGAGGACTGTAATGGCAATTCTTCATATTAAACACCAATTCACATATTTAAAGTTTTTAACATAATAAGTGAGTTTGTTTCTTGTTTTTTTGTATTACTTACCTACTACTGCATTAAAAGTTACATCAAAACTTAGTGGCTTAAAACAACACATACTTATCATCTCACAATTTCTGTTGGTTAGGAATCTGGAAGCAATTTAGCTGGGTGGTTATGTTTCAAGGTCTTTTATGAGGTTTTGGTGAGGACTACAGTCATCTGAAGGCTTGACTGGTCTAGAGAATTTGCTTTTGAGCTCACTCACATGGCTGATGGCAAAAGGCTTCAGTTTCTAACTGGCTGTTGACCAAAAGCCTTAGTTCCTCAGTATGTAGGCCTCTCCACTGGGCTGTTCACCACATGACAGCTGGTTTCCAGAGACAGACAAGACAGACACTGCAGTATCTGCTATGACCTAATCTTGTAAGTGACATACTATCACATCAACCCTATATATACTGCAGTGTGGAAGGGGATTACAAAGATGTAAATACCAGGAGGTAGGGCATCCTAGGAGCTCTCTCAGAGGCTGGCTACCACATTTGCTAAATGACCTATACTAGGTTAGACTGATGACAATGCCACCCATGAGGGATAAGGTATATCTAAACTACTTCTATGTTTTCTTTTAATAGCACCCATAACAGAAAAATTAGTTTCATAGATGTATTTTAACAGGAATAGAAGATATTTTAAATAAAGCAATTTCAGCTCAGGATAGTAATTTTTAACTTTTACCCAAAAATCCAGAAAATGATGCTTTTTAAAATTTGTCTTCAATCCTTCATTGGTAGCCAATATCAATAATTTATCCATCAAAACTATAGTTCAATCCACAATAGTTTAAAAAAAAAAAAAAAGGATTCCTGAGCTATTAATTTCCTATGTACTGGTTTTCTTTTGATAAAAACATTCAAAGTGTGTCTTACCAAATTTGTAAATCTGACAAACTTCTTACCAAGTTTGTCTTACCAGTTTGATTTTAACATTTTATAAATGCACACTACAAAAATCATCAACTACTTTACTGATAATTATTACTGTGAAACCCATCATAACAATCTGTGGAACTTTTCCCAAAATTTCTAACTTTCATTTTTGTCCTTTGATATTATATAACATTAAAAACATCTGACATTCTTTCCTTGCATGGAAGGCTAAGATCATTTTTAAAAAAGAATAAGGCTATCAGACAAATAAGTCTAATTCACGTATTTAAAAAGTTTGGGAACCAAACTGGTTCCTTATCTTGCAAAAACACTAAGCATTCATCCCAAAGTTCAAACACTTTTGTCTGACCATCTCCCTTTGAAAATTACTGTATTCCTTAGCATATGGTAACAGTTGACTGGTTCAGCTTCCAAACTATCATTTATTTTTTTTAATCTCAAATTTAATGCATTAGTGTTTAAGCAATTCACACCTTTGTGAACTACTGTTAATTTAGGTGATACAGAAAGTACAGTTTAGTTCAGCTGACAATAGCAAGACTTTCTCAATGAAAGAAGCAGGACATTGATTTACATTATGGCACAAGTTCCAGCATGTTTTTCTTGTCACCATCTCTCTATAACCAGAACATACTCCTACAAAAGCAAAACAAAACTCCAAACCACATTTGTTGATTTGTTAACCCTTCAAAGTTTTACATAATTCATAATAAGTTGTGTTTGTCAGCAAGGAAGTTGAAAAATAAATTCTGCCTTCATAGCAGGCATATTAACAAAATCAATGTATTCATCAAATTGTAACAAAAATTCCTTTCCTACCCTTATTTGTCTAAGAGTCAGTCTTCTGTATCACTAAACTGTTCCTAAATATATCAAGCTATGGTGTTGTCAGAAAGTATTACATAAATTATCTTCTTTGCAATGGATTCATCCAACATTTCCAAACAAACACCTTTGTCTTTTCATTTGTGTGTAGTTGTTTTTAATGTTAGCAACCTGATAATGAGACTTTAAAAGAAACTAAAAAAGCCCTAATGATTACATAAGAAATCCTGAAGATCCACTTCTGTCAGCTTAACTGTAATATTCCTTCTTTCAATAATTCATTTGTGGTTGTGAATGTACTTATGTAATACCTATAAATGCCACTTAAATTTTGATGGATAATTGTTGTAGCAGCCAGTATATCACTGCAAATAACCCACTGTGGTTTTAGCACTTCCCCATCAATTATGGGTAAAAATTGAACTCAACACAGGCATTCCTCGGAGATACTTTGGGGTTTGGTTCCAAACCACCACAATGAAGCAATTATCACAATAAAGAGAGTCAAATGAATTTTTTGGTTTCCCAGTGCATATAAAAGTTATGTTTACACCATACTGTAGACTATTTTTTAAATTTTATATAACTAAAAAATGTTAGTAAGTTTTTTTTTTTTAATTTTTATTTAAATTCTAGTTAGTTAAAATACAGTTCAATATTGGTTTCAGGAGTAGAATTCAGTGATTCATCACTTACATACAACACCCAGTGCTCATCATAACAAGTGCCCTCCTTAATCCCTATCACCCATCCAGCCCATCCCACACCCACCTCCCTCCCTCAACCCTCAGTTTGTCCTCTATCATTGAGTCTCTTATGGCTTGTTTCCCTCTCCTTTTTTCTTTTCCCCTTTCCCATATGTTCATTTGTTTTGTTTCTTAAATTCCACATATAAATGAAATCATATGGTATGTCTCTTATTTTTCTTAGCATAATATACTCTAGCTCCACCCACATCATTACAAATGGCAAGATTTCATTCTCTTTGATGGTTGATTAATATTTCATTGTATGTAAGACTTACTACATCTTCCTTATTCATTCATCAGTTGATGGACATTTGGGCTCTTTTCATAGTTGGGCTATTGTTGATAACGCTGCTTTTATAAACATCAGGGTGCATGTACCCCTTTGAATCTGTATTTTCGTATTCTTTGAGGAAATACCTAGTAGTGCAATTGCTGGGCTCATAGGGTAGTTCTATTTTTAACTTACTGAGGACACTCCACACTGTTTTCCAGAGTGGCTGTACCAGTTTGCATTCCCACCAACAGTGCACTAGGGCTCCCCTTTCTCCACATCCTTGTCAACACCTATACTGTAGCCTATTAAATGTGCAATAACATTATGTTAAAGAAACAATGTAATCAATGAATCATGGAACACTACATCAAAAACTAATGATGTACTGTATGGTGACTAACGTAACATTAAACAAAGACACAGTGTACATGCTTAAATTTAGAAATATTTTTTAGGGTGCCTGGGTGGCTCAGATGGTTAAGCATCTGCCTTTGGCTCAGGTCATGATCCTGGAGTCCCGGGATCGAGTCCCGCATCGGGCTCCCTGCTCTGCGGGAAGTCTGCTTCTCCCTCTGCCTCTCTCTCTCTCTCTCATGAATAAATCTTTAAAAAAAAAGAAATATTTTTTAAATGCTAACCATCATCTGAACTATCAATGAGTCATAAGTTTTTTGCTGGTGTTGGGGTGGGGGGGTCCATACTACCCAAAGCAATCTACACATACCTCAGTGTTGATGGCTGCTGACTGATCAGGGTGGTGGTTGCTAAAGGCTGGGGTGGTTGTGGCAATTTCTCAAAATAAGACAACAATGAAGTGTGATGCATTGACTGACTCTTCCTTTCACAAACAATTTCTCTGCAGCATGCAATGCTATTACATAGCATTTTACCCACAGCAGAATTTCTTTCAAAATTAGGAGTCATGCTCTCAAACCCTGCCAGTGCTTTATCAACCACGTTTATGTATTATCTAAATCCTCTGCTGTCCTTTCAACAAACTTCACAGCATCTTCACCAGGAGTGAAGAACAAAACACCCATCTCAAGAAACCACTTTCTCCACTCATCCGTAAGAGGCAACTCCTTATCCAGTAAAGTTCTATCATGAGATTTCAACAACTCAGTCACATCTTCAGGCTTCACTTCTAATTCTAGTTCTCTCATTACTTCTACCACATCTGCAGTTACTTCCTCTACTGGTCTTGAACCTTCAAATTGTAAAAAACACAGTAACTACAAAGTACAAAAAAGCGAAGCGCAATAAAACAAGGTATGCCTGTATAGGAAAACTAATACTTCCCAACAAAACTAGCACAAACTCTTTTGGTCTGTAACTCTTTAAAATTACTTCTATCACCAGCATCATTTGATTTTGCTAGTGTTGAATTCAGAAAAGGTGTTATCTTTTCCTATCAAAAAAAGTCTAGTAAAGCTGGTTTTATTATT